CCTGCAGGAAAAAAGACTATACTCAAAGAAGCAATAAGTCTAGTCCTGTACTTAAAATGAGCTGGTAAAGATGACTGGAGGCAGAAAGGCCAGCCACAGCCATAGCCAGAACGTAGAACTGAGCCAAGGAATGTTTTCTGGATTGTAAACCATGGAATGTTTTGTGGATTGTAAACCATAGACAGCTTCCAGACACACTTAGGAAGCAGAAACCCCATATAGTAGATATTAGGTGGTATTATTTTTCTGACTGTGTAACACCTTTTAGGAGTCTTGCCCTAAAAGATGAAAACTGTGAAATGCTCTTCACCAGCCCTCTTTACAGCTAAGGTTCAAGAAGGTAACCCAACCAGAGTGATCCATTTAGTAATATTATATATGAATAACCTGAGATCTGAGGCAAAGCCCATTTTTCCAACAAGGGTGGAAGTAGAGGGATCTGGCTTAGAGGGGCTGCGGCGATGTGCAAGTGTGAGTTCCCAACATAAAAGATATTTTAAAATTCTAAGTATGCATCCTAGAAATATTCAAAAGAATATGTCTATGAAATTAAACATGTATCAGAGAACAAAGGGAATTAAAATTATTACTTTAGTCATTGTAATGATTTATATCCAGATGTCCCCCCAAAACCCACAGGTTGGCTTTTAGGAGGCACTTGGATCCCAGGGATGTGATTAGTCTTCTGATGAGTTTATAGCTAAATGTGACGTTGGAAGGAAACGGGAGACTGAGGATGTGGCCTCAAAGGGTCTCTGCAGAAACACAGAGGCTTGAAAAAACACAGAGGATTTGAGATATAGCAAGAAGCTTGGTACAGTTTAAGAAAAAAGTAAACATATCCCTTTCTCCAAGTTTTCCTAAAGTCTTCCTGCTGCACTAATCCTCCTCTGAGTCTCTTTTCCAATGTATCACCATTCACTTCCCTTTATAGAATTTCTGCATGTTTTTGAACTTATGTTTAAGAGGACATGCAGAAAGAACTCTCAACAAATTGTTTTAAAAACAATAATTATTTTTAAAAAACTCATGAGAAGGCCACAAGGCTAAGCAGCAGAATAAACATGATAGAAGCTCAATTTGGAAACCAGTAAAATGAGCCCATATGAGTAAAATAACCAAACAACAACAATTATGATAACCAGGAAGAAGACTCATGATGTCCTCCATCCACTGTGGCCGACACCATCTGCTGAAAAACTTGAGCTCCTTTTCTAATGTTTTTATTTTACACCTACCTCTGCTGCAAAAACTAGACAGTAAAATACCTGCTCCCTTTTCTTCACTTCAACAGTGTCACAAGACAAATGGCTACATGTCACAGCTCAGCCAATGAGATGCAGATAGAAGTCACAATATATTTCCAAATGAGAAGACAAGGCCTCGGAGAAGTGTCTCTTTGCCTTTTATTCTTCCTTCCTATCACCTCCAGATATGGCAGCAAACAGTACAAACATAACGAAAAAGCCATTCTAAGCACATAAAATAAAAGACAGAAAGGCAGCAACTGCTTACATCTAGATTTCTTGTTAGTGAAGGAAAATAAACTCCTTACTTGTTTAAGACACTGTTTATAATGCTTTCTATTATTTTCAGCCATTCACATTCCCAAGCAATACCTCATTTTATAATTATCCTGCAAAAAGAGAAAAGAGATGATAGAAGAGAGGAAATAATAGAAGAAAATTCCCTGAACTAAAGAAAGATTCAAACCTTCAGAAGGGAAGTCTTACAAGGTACTGAATCAGAATTAATTTGTTTTTAAAGACCCATATAAATATAATCTGATAAAATCAGTGAACCCCAAAATAGAGAAAATCCTACATGCTTCAAGAAAGAAAGGATTTTTTAATTTAGAATTTAGTTACCACTCAAGCTATTATTCAAGAAAAAGAAAAAATTTTAATAAGGTTAATGCTCAAACATTGTCTTCATACCACCACACCCTGGAGGAAAATTTTTCAAAAAATTCCAGACAAATAATTTAACAAAAGTTATTTAAACATATTAAAAATTATTGAATCTAGATGCATACTTAATGATAAGGCTAAAGACGTAGGTTAAATTTGGTTGAGAAAGACTCCTACAATGAAAGACACTATTTGTAAATATAAAAATAAAAATTTACAACATATTGAAACTACAATTCCAGATTTCAATAAATCCTCATGGAAAAGAAAAGGGAAAAAGGAAAATAAAAGCATACCAATGATTTAACCTTATAAAATATGAGATTTTAAAAAACTAATTACTGAAGTTGAAAAATACATACTTTAAAAAAAAAATATATATATATATAGATAGATAGATAGATATATAGATACATTTCAATGTATGTTAAAATGGATGCGCATTGAGGTGATACTCTTAAGTGAAGTAAATAGGACAAATTTGTGTAAATACCAAATAGTTTCTCTAGTGTGAGAAACTGAAAGTGTAAATAAGGACTAAAAGGTATAATAGATACTGTGAAATAGGAAAAAAAGGGGCAAAGAGGAAAGGGAATTGGGAGGGGTAGGGGGAAAGGAAAGAAGGGAATGGAATTAATACAAGAAAATGAAAAACTGGAAACAAAGTCTTTGTGGATAGGGAGGGGTGCAGGGGTTGAAGGGAGGGCAGGGGAATGGGGAAGAAATAACAACCAAGCTGGATTATGTAAAGGTGCAAATTTCAAAAGATGAATGCCATTATATTGTATACCTTAAATGTACCAATAAAATTCATTTTTTAAAAAAGAACTTGAGGGATAATAATATTGATCAGAATTGCTTCTTGGCCTTTTGGCTAAGATCAAGTGTAATAATATAGATCAGAAATAAGATACTGAATTTCCAAGCTACAAGAGGGAAGGGGGGGGTCAAGAAAATAAAACAAATAAAATATATAATTCAAAGTCAGGAAAAGTTCCAGAAAATTATCAGTGGCCAGAATAAGTAAAATATCCTCATTAAAGTATAAATGATAAGGAAATAATAGCAAAAGATAAACAATTAAAAAATGAAGGTAATATCAACAATAAAATTCCAGCTATATTCACAGTATTTATAAAAGAGCTACCTAAGACTGAAATTAAGAGTTTAAAACATAAATATTAGCAAAAAATAATATTAATAATAATGCATTAGTAAAGCACTTCTAGAATGCATAAGGAAGATCAATTATGTCACAGTCTGACATCCAGACAGACAGTGCCCAGCAGCTTGCCCAACCTCACGAGTAATAACAAAACCAGGAATGAAACTCTGGTCTCCTAACTCTTATTGTTATCTAAACTTTTGTTACTAAAGTAAACAAACTACCAAGAACAGCAAAGCTTTTCCTTTTTTTTTTTTTTTTTTTTTTTTTTT